TCTGCAACACTGTTATTCGGATGACTATGATCATGTAAGCACCAATATTCACACTCTCTGTCTCTGTATACATAAACTCAAGATTTTATTGAACCTGCACAAGTTTATTTGCTTTTCAATGATGTGGTTGCAATGAATCCAAAAGTGAGGAGTTTTTCTAATTCATTAGGAGCTTCAGCTGGTAGGCTCACTGCAGGTGATGCTTGGGAGTGACGCTGTAATCCAGTAATTACATTTGGTAGGATTTATTATCAACTGATAGGTAGATGATATAGAATTTATTAAGGTATTTTAGTTCAATACACACAAGAGACAAAAAACAAAAAAACAAAAACAAAAAAAAAAAAAAATTGATTGTGAAAGTAACTTTCTTTTTCATTATTGAAAGTGCATTACAACTATATCATAGTTATATTTTATTCAATTATTCTTATAGTTTTAGGTGGTGATTAAGTTTATGGTACGTAATATTCTTATTAGTTTTTTGTTGTTATATTTTATTCAAATAATATCTTTAGTTGTATTTTATTCAAACATTACTAGAACATTTCCGATTGCAGACTCGGATTTCTAAGAGCCCACTTTCCCAAACGGAGCTTAAGTTCAACCACAGTGCTATTTCATTTCCTATTCTATATCAAGTAGTTTTTATTTATGAACAAACAATATTTTTTACACTAAAGAAGAGAGGGTGAACTTAGCCTCATAATGGGCTAGCAATAATGATGTCCAAATTTACCTTTGGGCAATCTGGTCCTCCTTGTACGAAATTATTATTAGTTTAATCGATCCAAACAACAAATAAGATTTAGTTGACTTAAAACGATTCTAATGATTCTCCTGTTTTATCTAATTATTGTCAAATTGTATTCTCTGTTAAAAAAATTGTTAGAACTTAGAATTAGAAAAAAATCCTTCAGGCGCAAAAAACTTGCATTTGGGAAGTTTCTGATAATATCGTACCTTTGGCCATGCCAGTCAGAGAACCTAAAATTGGGAGTAAGTTTTAAGTTTCAATAATCCTTTGTTGTGTATTTGTGCTTTTCTATAACAATTGAATCTTAAACCAAATAACTGTCTTATGTTTTTTCTAACTGTAGTTTTGTGCTATTTAATTCAGCTCTTTCAGTTCATGATGAATTGTAGTAAATAAGAAAAACCAAGTAACTTGATAGCAGATTTACTAAGTGATTTGTTTGGAACAGTATTTTTTAAATAAACTAATTTCCCTCTACTTGGGATCTAATTAGAATGGCTCTGATAGTTTTGGAATGAACACTTGGCTAAGAATCGCATACTTTCGTTTTAACTTTTATGCTAAATCATTTTTAAGTTATCCTTGTAGACATTGTTATATTTGTGTGAATTCGATTTTCTACTAATTCCAAATAGGAGATTTAAATCTTTTCCTGTTTATAAATATTTCTATCCAATCCTTTAAATTTTGTCTAATCTAAATTATTATGCATATTATTCATTTTTTCTCGCTAGTTGTGTTGACATTGATTCGTTTTTCTGTTTTTACTTTTATGTTTTCCTTCCTTTTAAATGTTTGTTGTTTTTCATTTATAATGTTATGAATTGGAAAAATTGAATGTAGAATGTAAAATGACAATATGGATTTGTTACAAAAGGATATGATTGCATTGAATTGGATGTAAAATGATGCATCGAATTCCTCATGAATAATATTGATCGTATCGGTTTTCTGTTTGATGTGTTGGGTTTTCTTGGGGTATCCTCTGTTTTGGTATGCTCGGAAAGTTTGGGAATTGGTTAATTCATTTGGAAATGGAATTGAAGTTGTTTTCAAATTTTCGGTTATGGGATTGACAATTTTCGGAATACTTTTGGTTTTGTGTTAGAAAAGAAAACACTGTTACTTGATTGAGTTAAGGGGATTTGCGGTGTTGAATAAATTGAATTTTATAAAAGTGCTTATGTTTATGTGACAAGACAAGGATTTGCCATTTGTTATTGAAATGTGAGATTAACAATAAATTAGCCATTATTTTGAATTGCAATGCTATCGGTCACAGTTTTTGGAAAATTGAGCCATTTATTTAAATTAACAATGCAAGGCTCAGCTTGTTCAAAGTCAGATGGGATTGACAATATAAATGAATGGATTATGGTTATCTATGATGTTTTGGAACTAAGCAGTCAGTCAATAAAAAACAAATAGGATCTTGACTATTTCAACATAATCCATACATTATGCTTGAAAGATTAGATGCTGAAACAAGACCACATTTTTTTGCTATTTTGTTTAGCTGTTAAACACGTGATTGGGCTGCAGGACATATATTTTGCCATCTTAACTTGAAGGGCAAATATAAGTGTTAAATGCATGTTGCTTCTGTATCTTAGGAAACAAATTTTTAAATCCATTTTGTTCAATTTGATATATGTATCAAAAGCCGAACTTGCTATCTTTTTTGTTCATATTGAAGTAATTCATTAAATTGCTCTTCTTCTTATCGATATAGGTTGGACTATCTTCATTCATTTTTTTTCATCATGATAAATGCTTGAAAGGTTTATTCATGATGCAATAGTTACACTAGTAATCCGATCAAGTCACCCAGCATTTCAATGCACAACAGCGAACAAAGCATTTTTGCAATAGTTTTTTTTAGATATGAAACCTGAATTTTTGCACAAACAACAAACCAAATTGTTTATGCACCTTTACGCAATATCCATTAGAAAGCCATTGATAACCTATAATTAGGCATCATAATATCCAAAGGTGCAAATTAGCCCTTTCTCATTCTTTTATTTTCTTTTAAAAACACCAAGAAGCAGGTAGCTAGCACCATCACTGTGTCTGTCCAAACACCAAATGCCCCTTTCTTTTTCTTCTGCGAAACGGCCGAAGTACCCAGATTTTATTTTCTAAAGACCAAACTTACCACACCAACTTAACTAATACAATTGGGTGATTTTACTACTCATCACCCTATTGTAGTGCTGATTTTTAGCATTATCACTCTCTCAATAGTAGTGTAATGCTTTATACCATATTAATTACATTTCGGTTTAAATAAGTTGAATTTGAGATTGTTGACAAAAATTTCAACTTGTATAAGGTAAAACTTATATAACGGTGAGAAATAAGTAGTGAGCATCACTATCATTGGTGAGTGTGGATTTGGAACAAAAATATTCCTAAATTGATCAGTATGAAAAAATTGAAAGAAGATTTAAAGTAATTGCAAACAAAGTAATCCGATAATTAAAGAATTTTTAAGAATCTTTACTTAATTTGTATTTAATTTGCTTGGTTTGCATTGCTAATACAATTATTTTGAGAGCAGTCACCTACGTAGCATTGCATTTGCAAATTGGAGGAAGACTTTAGTGCTTTATGTGCACGAACTAACTTTAATCGATGGTAGTTATTTACATAGGCAAAATACCAAGTCACAAGACTTTAGTAGTAATTACACTCTTCACACAATGAACCTCAAATTGGTGATTTAATTTCTGCAACATTTGTGTCAAACTTCGATATTTGACTCGCATGTAAGTGCAAAATTGCTAGTATACACAAGTACAAGAAGAAGTTATCCGACATCAAATTTCTGGATGATTTCACTATCACAAACTTTCATCTTTAGTTCATAAAAAAAGCAGTTTCAATATTCTAAAGAAGTTAGAATGTTCTCTATCTAGAAATGAAGCTCATAATCAACTTTAGAAATTCTTTCCTATTCTATTCCTTTGTGCAGAAGTTATGGCAAAAATCAGTAATCTTTGTCAGAAAGTTTCTCAAAAGAAGAAGCATTCCAATTTCTAATAAATTGAACTCAAGTCCACACCTTCTCAGCTTTATGAATTCTCACACTGCTGCAATTTCCGTTGACACTTTCTGTGCTCTCTTGAAGAAGTGATGCTATCTGCAATTCACAGTAACTCGTCCAGTGCCATTCTTGTAAATTATGAAGTTCAAGATATCACAAAAACATGGTTGTCATGTAGGTATCTCTTTCCCTGTAAACAATCTCCAACAATAGAATGCCAAGCCTTTTATGTCAGACAATATACATAACCATTAAGTAAAATGTTCAGTTTAAAATTTTTTAGTAAATTTTAATGCCCCATGAAATCTATAATCTAACACTGTGAATATACATGAAAAAACCATTTTCTCTTATGTTTACCTAGTGTCTATGAAACATAACCTGTCAAAAGATACATTACTCCAATAGAACGTTGCTGGACATTGAGATCACCAAATGAGTCTGCGATAATCCAAAGATCCAGAAAACCACTCCACAGAACCAACTTTATTCATCTCTTACTTTACTTCTAAAGTACAGTGTCTATAAAAGAGAGTAGTGGATGCCTCTTCATGTAAGCTCCCCAATTTGATGAATCATTAAGAAAATAGAGGCCTTGAGACATTTGCGTTAAAAATGTACACTGAAATTGCACAGGCACCTAAACACCAATGGCAGATTTCTAGCTCTGAAAATAAGATTAACTTCTTGGGTAATGAACTTATCAAATGCAGCTCCACGTAAGGTTCAACGATGTCATACAATCAATCTAACTCAGAAATAACCTTCTCCAAGAAACTTTTTTCATACAAAAATGAAGTTCAAGCACTTGAATCTTACACGGTTATATCTTGACGAGATTGAATCAGTGCCTAATCATTTGGAAGCTTTTCATTTCGGTCCACATCGAAAGCTTCACGTAAATCTAGAACATTCATGGATCACACAAGAACAATTATTTCCTACAAACAAAAAGTTTTATCATGCACACAATTTGTCAAACCTTGTAAACACCAGCCCATTAAAATAGTCCCAGAGAAGGAGAGCCGTACTTTAGAGTTAGTAGCTTTAAATGACACTTTCATTTGCATGTTCCCCAAAAGTTTCAATGAAATTTCTTTCCTTTTCTTCCTTGACGAACAACAAGAAAGAAATAGGATGGAACACCATGGCCTATTCCTGAAGAAGTAAGTCCAATACTAAAGGGTACTAGTTTCAAGCTACGAGACAACCTTTGTTTGTTGGTCTCTTTAGACTTGCACTTGGGGAAGCTTTAAATTTAGCAATAGGGCTGCACAGATTAGTGTTGCCCAATAGCACTCGCATTTTTGAAAACACCTCCAGTTGTACCTCTCCCCAAAATTGATTGAATGATAAGTTCAGATTATTTAGGATTCTAAAGCCTTCTAAAAAATGCGGAATTTCCCCTGAAAAATTATTGCGAGAAAGGTCTAGATCTTGAATCCCTCTCAATGAACTCATAGACAAAGGAATGGACCCGTTGAAGAAGTTTCCTTGCAAATGCAGGACTTCTAAACTCTCACAACCACCAAGGCTGCTGGGGAGTTCTCCAGATAACATGTTATCAGAAAGATCCAATTTACTTAGACTATGGAAATTCCCAACTTCCGGGGGAAGGAAACCTGTGAAGAGGTTATTAGACAAGTCCAAAGAAATCGATAAGGAGGGGAGTCTAAAAACTTGTTTGGGTATTGTGCCATTTAGGAGGTTATAAGAAACAGACAACGATTGCAACCAATGGCATTCCCCTAGGCTTGAAGGAATGCTGCCCTCAAGATGATTTCCATCCAATTCAAGATAGAATAACTTGGTTAAATTTCTTAAGGAAGACGGAATATTTCCTGATAATGTGTTATGGGAAATTTGTAATGCTCCAAGGTTTGAAAGCTTACCCATGTCAGAGGGGATGCTACCTGTGAAGCTATTTTTCCCCAAACCCAACGTTTCCAAGCTCACCAGGTTCCCTATCCCAGATGGGATACTTCCATATATTTGGTTACGGTGAACCCAAAACCATTCAAGTTTGGTTGAGAGATTGGCTATTGACATGGGCAATGTCCCTCCAAAATTGTTGTCGTTAATAATCAGCGCTTGTAACTGCGTGGCATTGGTCAAGTCCGAGAGAAAACTTAAGTCACCATCTTTACCGCTTCCAATACTATTATTTAGAATGCTGAAATGCAGGAGGTTGTGAAGCTTTTGGAGATTCGGTACCCGTCCGATTAGGTTGTTAATCCCAACATCAAAATACCAAACACTTGTGACGTTGAATATTGAGGGGGGTATGGACCCAGTGAGTTGGTTTGAGTTGACGATGAAGATTTCGAGATTAGGAAGACTTTTGCCAATATCTGATGGAATACTCCCTTGAATTTGGTTAATTGGAATGGAAAATGTAACAAGAGAAGACATGTTATAAATGGAGGAAGGGATGCTACCAAACAACCGATTTAACCCCAATCCCAAGAAGGTTAATTTTTTCAATTGGCCAAGAGAACTGGGGATGTTTCCCATCAAGTTATTACTAGAAAGACTTAGTACCTGGAGAGATGAAAGGTTCCCTAAGGAAGGAGGGACCTGTCCCGTTACATTATTAAATTTTAACACAAATTCTTGCAACTTCGACAGCAATCCAATTTCTGAAGGAATTTTACCCACCAGCTTGTTGCGAGTGAAATTCACAAGGATAAGGTTGAAGCAATGTGATAAATTGTGTGGAATACTGCCACTAAACGAGTTAACGTCTAATCGCAATATCTGCAACCTACGCAAATTCCCAATTTGTGGAGGAATTTCATGACCGAGGCTGTTATTTTGCAACCACAGCTCCCGTAGAAAACTTAGATTTCCGATGCTTGGGGATAGTTTCCCTACCAGATTTTGAGATTGCAGGTCCAGGTTAGTGACCCTTTGGCGATGCCGTCGACCGCACGTCACACCATGCCACATGCAAAAGTGCATGGATTCATTCCAAGAGCTCATCACGTTGTAATTATGGTGATCTTGCTTTATTTGAGCTTTGATGGCAAGCAGCGCCAGCCTATCCGTCGCATTCCCTCCGAGTCCCGATTGCAGGGAGCTCCAACAGCAAATGAACACTGCACTGAAAAACAAGTATATTAAGATCAATTTCACAACCAAAACCCCCATTTCTGATCTGGTTAACTATATAAGTAGAGAGAGAAGCAGAAAGAAATAGAGAGATGGGTGTTGAGTGGCGAATTTGGTGAGTTCCATTTGTTACATGACAAGGAAATTTATAGAAGGATAGGATCATAGGGTTTTTATTTTTTATTTTTTTTTAATTTTACATATATTAAATTAAATGGGTAAATTGATACCCGTTATAACTACGGATAATACTCATAACCGATGGATACCTGTTATAACCGTGGGTAATACTCATAACCGTCAATTTAAATTTCACAAATAAACGGTTATACCCATAACTGTTTGTTCATCTAAACAGTTACCCATAATCCTAACCGTGAATTTTAAATGGGTAGGTAACCGCGGTTATCCAAACATATTTTACCCATCCCTAAACTTATATCACAGTTTCTGGTTCTTGAAAATTCAAATATGAGAAGGAAAAAGTCCAAGTAAATGATAACCACTTTGACTGGTTTTTTAGACGACTTCAGTAGCTTACTTCCACTACTGGGAATTATTGTTGGGCACTTTCAGTGAACACCAAGGACCAAGATCATTAAAGCACCTTTATCCCAGAAGCTGAGTGGAAATAATTTGGCAACCCTCCATAATATCCTTATCATGCGCCACACACACACATTTATATATATATATTTCCAACCCTCCATAATATCGTGATTCGGATTGAAATTATATATATATATATATGTAATGCTTAAGAAACAACAAAACCCCCATTTCTGATATGGTTAACTATATAACTAGAGAGAGAAGCAGAAAGAAATAGAGAGATGGGTGTTGAGTTGCGAATTTGGTGAGTTCCATTTGTTACATGACAAGGAAATTTATAGAAGGATAGGATCATAGGGTTTTTATTTTTTATTTTTTTTTAATTTTACATATATTAAATTAAATGGGTAAATTGATACCCGTTATAACCACGGGTAATACCCATAACCGATGGATACCTGTTATAACCGTGGGTAATACTCATAACCGCCAATTTAAATTTCACAGATAAACGATTATACCCATAACTGTTTGTTCATCTAAACAGTTACCCATAATCCTAACCGTGAACTTTAAATAGGTAGGTAACCGCGATTATCCAAACATAGTTTACCCATCCCTAAACTTACATCACAGTTTCTGGTTCTTGAAAATTCAAATATGAGAAGGAAAAAGTCCAAGTAAATGATAACCACTTTGACTGGTTTTTTGGACGACTTCAGTAGCTTACTTCCACTAATGGGAACTATTGTTGGGCACTGTCAGTGAACACCAAGGACCAAGATCATTAAAGCACCTTTATCCCAGAAGCTGAGTGGAAATAATTTGGCAACCCTCCATAATATCCTTATCATGCGCCACACACACACATTTATATATATATATTTCCAACCCTCCATAATATCCTTATCATGCGCTGTGATTCGGATTGAAATTATATATATATATATATGTAATGCTTAAGAAACAACAAAACCCCCATTTCTGATATGGTTAACTATATAACTAGAGAGAGAAGCAGAAAGAAATAGAGAGATGGGTGTTGAGTTGCGAATTTGGTGAGTTCCATTTGTTACATGACAAGGAAATTTATAGAAGGATAGGATCATAGGAGGAACCTCCACCACAGTTTCTTTTTCTTGAAAATTCAAATATGAGAAGGAAAAAATCCAAGTAAATGATAACAAGAAACAACTTTGGCTTGTTTTTTTTAGACGACTTGACTAGCTTACTTCCACTACTGGGACCTATTGTTTGGCACTTTCAGTGAACGCCAAGGACCAAGACCATTAAAGCACATTGAGTCCAGAAGCTGACTGGAAACATTTTGGCAACCATACATAATAGCATTATCATCCATAATTCATTTTGGCAATCATCCAAAATGAAAAAAAACAAATACATGGAACCCAATATTTTCTCACATCAGACATCACGCTGGTGTTACCTAATATGAAAGTTACCCTAGCAGGGCGACCCTAACTATGAATGGAAATTTTGAAGTGTATGTTTTTTGAGGGGCTAGACTGTGAGATTGCTGATTTTTTTCATAGTTCCCCTAAAGTATCATTGCAAGAAAGCTTGTTGTGGATGCAACCTTTTTAAAAATGGTAACAATTACTAGTGAGATCAAGTTTTCTTAATTTTCAAACTTCATGGGGGCTCAAGTCTCTAGCAAGAGAATTCCAAAATTGTAGACGTATCCAGTTATTAATGCCTCACTTCCCAAATATTGTTAGCAAATTGAGAACAAAATAGTTGAATTATGCAAAAGTTTAAAAGAAAAGAAAAAAGATATTGTGGAGAGGATGTGAATATTTACCTAAAACCACATAACCAATCGTTTCTGTTATTCCGACAGAACTTGTGTCCCCATCACCTCGATCCGATCGAATCATAAAGGCTCGGCCCAAAATTCGAACCCCAGTTTTCTTGAAAGCAAAAGCCAAATCAAATCCGGCAACCAAACACAAATTCTCCCCAAAAAAAAAATATTTCAACAACCAAAACCCATTAACGATTTAATCATATACGAAAGAAAAATCTAAACACAGAATCACAGATTAACAACTGAAAACCCAAAAAAAAAAAAAGAAAAACTGACCTTAAAACAAAGAACAAACAGACAGAACAGAGAGATGAATCCCCAAAAAGAGAGAAAATGAAACAAATAAGGGAATAAATAGAAAGATGAATCCCCAAAACCTGACCTAACGTACCAAAAAATGTCAACAGATACAAATGCAAGAAATAATAAAAAATTAAGATTTTAGTTCAAAATCCAAATGAAAAAGAGACTTATCTGAACATGCAACAGGGCATGGACGATCGTGAGTGAATCCCGGACTGAGGGAACATGCTTGGGCCTGTTCACCATCCCCACCCTTCCCTCTCTGTTTCTCTCCCCGTAATCCGGACGACCCATCCTCTTTCTTTCACTGTCACCCACCCAGTCACCATATCAAACATTAAGGCACTGACATCCTAACCTCTCCCTCTCTCTCTCTATCGCTCGCTATCTCTCTCTCTCTATCTCTCTCTCTCTCTCTCTCTGTATCGGAGGCATGGCCTCCCATCCCCGAAACCCTCACTGAATGACAGCAAACCCAAACCCACCCCAATCCGTCTCAAACGCACAGGACAAAATTGCCCTTCCAACCCAGCCCCAATACCAGCCCAAACCTCACGGTTTTGTTGTAAATAGTGTGAAATCGAGTGGCTCCCTGCTAAACTATATGGACAAAATTACCCTCTGAACTTTTGAGAATTACCTCCCCAATCCATGCAATTTGGCCGGTATTTTTGTAAATAGAGTGAAATCGAGTGGCAAAGAATGAGGCCGCTACAGTGCCGCTCCCCCTTCAATTTTAGAATAGATAATAACCCTCTGAACTTTTGAGAATTACCCTCCCAATCCATGCAATTTGGCCGGTATTTTTGTAAATAGAGTGAAATCGAGTGGCAAAGAATGAGGCCGCTACAGTGCCGCTCCCCCTTCAATTTTAGAATAGATAATAACCCTCTAAACTTTTGAGAATTACCCTCCCAATCCATGCTGGCAAAGAATGACGCCGCTACAGTGCCGCTCCCCCTTCAATTTTAGAATAGATAATAATATGTTATTGGACCTTGATTTTTAAATGAACAGTGAATTTGGCCAAGTCCTTTTGCTTTAACAAACAGATCAAGAAGCGGCCCAACATTTCGGAGCAACTTCGCCTTAAATCTAGATGATACTATTGTGCGCATTAAAACACAAAACGCAAAGGTTGAGATTTAACCAAATAAGATGGCTCACTCGTTAAAAATAATGTGCGAGGGAAGACAATGATTTGGCCACCTTAAAACACCGTATCCTCTTTGTACGTAATCTTGCACAATATTAATGAATATCCTGAGTGATTTGGCCTGAGGTTTGGAAGACAATGATGAAAAATCAACGTTATGGTTAATCAACTTGCTTCACGTCCATGCTAATCTACTTGGAGACATCGATCGTATCCCTTTTCAAGGATTCGACACCAGTTCTTAGCCCGATAAGCTTAGAACTCATCCGGACGCCCATGTTTCGATCCCAATCACTCTTTCAAACTTTGTGTTTACCATGTATGTACGTTTATAAGTTGAAATCTTTAACAAGCAAAGCATAAGCGTAGAAAAGAATCAAGATCATTTTATTAAAAGTCAGTTAACTTATAGTGCAGGTTTCCTTACTATCAATTCACTAGATTTACAATTCATTATGTTGGCTAGGTTTTCTCTATACTCGTTTCTAACTAGTCTTGCTCTTATTGGATGCGAGCAAGGGTGGATCCATAGAGGGACCAAGATGGTCTCAGAACCACCCGAAAGCTGGAAAAATGCCCATGAAGGTCCTTTGGGGACCCTCCAAACATTTTGGCAAGTGGAGAGATCTACTCCAAAGACTATATAGGCTACGCCAAGGCAATTATTTTGTCAAATAATGTTATAGTCCATTCAAAACCTAGTCCATCCATGGAGGAGGTGAAGGAATTGCAGGATTGCAGCAGCTTTCTTGCGAGGAAGATGAAAGAGAAGCTGACTCTTCTTTTTTTTTCCTTCTACGTTGTTGTTTTGGACATCTTTATGGGCTAGAGTGATAAAAGCCCACTAACTTTAAAGACCTTTAATTTGTTTTTTTCTTCTGGAAGTTGCTCATTTTTTAGATAATTTAATAGAAAATATAACTGATTTTAGAGAACCATCCATTCTAATTCTTCATAATTATGTGTAAGTTTTACTTTATATAACATTATATTATTGAATCGAAACACTTGTGGTGGTGAGTTCATACCATACAGTTGCTCTTATAGATAAGCTTTGTGCCATGAATCATGATCTCATGTCAACTTCAACCATTGAATTTTGCCAATGTTTTTGTTTAGAAAAGTAGGATATTCATTAATATTGTGAAAGATTACGTACAAAGAGGATACGGTGTTTTAAGGTGAGTCTCAAAAAAAAAAAAATTGTCGGAATTTCAACTCGATTGAAAGAAAGAAAACATCTCACACTATAATTACATAGTTTGACTATCCTCTTAAAGAAGATCAACAATTAAGTTCAGAGGCTCCTTGAACCAAATGAGATCTTGTGCTGCCATCAAGCCATGCCTTGTCTTGTCAGCCTATGGGCTCGTTTAATACACATAATTGGATTGAATTGGAGATTATCAAATTTCAAGATATTTGGTGGGAGTGAATTTCTTTTCATTTGGAAGGGATTAGAATATAATTAGCTATGATGAAAATTCATTCCTTCCCATCTCCTCCTTCTTGGTGTAGATATTCAATCAACCTATCTTCCGCGATTACGAAGATCTCCAGCGGCAGCATAGAGTACCCTTGGTACAAAAAAGAGTTTCTTGACTTCCATAGAATCATAAGAGCGAATGCAAAGCTGTGCCTAGGCAACTCCAGGCTAAGCTTGTCACGCAGTCCCTCACGAACATCCCTCTAGCCCTCCAAACTCCGACAGCCAGTGAGCAGTCGCACAAAACATCCTCGGTTGTTTGCGACCGTTCGTTACAAAACAAGCAGCTTCCTTCACAATCAATCTTCATTTTCTGCAAATTAGCACACCATGATAATATTATGGCAACTGGCAAATCATATTTCTGATGATATTTTGCTTGAGCAGATTGGCAACCAAAGAATCTGGATTGTGTAGGAGCCACTAAACTTGCTTGTTTGCTAACCCCAAATTAAAGCATATAGATCTCGGATTGTGCCATTGGTTAAGATTTATAAAATTAGACAAGCAAAGTCATACTAGCACTTCCATTGTTTAACATGTTATCTTTGTTTGTCTAATCAAATGAGTTTATAAATCTTTGTAAATCATGTGGAGATGAATACCTCAATTACAATCACGAGTCCTCCTCTATATGTTTTGTACAATCATGTTAAACTGAATTACAAAAATACTAAAAGTAATCATATTATCAAACAATAAATTCATACGCTGATCCAATGAAAACTTAAATTTTGTGTGATAACTTCCAATTAAATAATAGATATGCCTTAATAATGTGATATCAAACTAATTATCTGTGATTTACATGTAAAAATAATCATTATACTAATTAAAAAATGCAAAACTAAAATTTTACAATAAAAAACTAAAAATATCATCATTTTCTATTTAGCATATTTGGCTTCAACCCAACAGTATCCTTTTCGGATTCTTTTGATGATGATCCTAAATATTTGTGAATTGTGTCTGTTTATCGTACATTATACAATCAATTTTTGTCAAATATTGTTTGTGTTTAATTTTAAAATAAAAATATTTAAAATAATTATGACCGCACAATGTACGATGAACGGACAAGAATGACGAATTCCCAAAATCCTCACAAAGAGGATATATTTTTTAATGTGATCGGAATATGAGATGGTACACCATGTCATTACACAAATGGTGGGATATGTGTGTCAAAAAGTTAATAACTTTAAAAATAAAATTTTTCTCCACTTATGTAAAAACACGTGGTGTACCATTCGTATTTCGATCACAATAAAAAATTTCTCAACAAAATTCGGCTTCAACTAAGGAAAAGGAAAAAAAAAGAAGGTAAAAAAAAAAAAACTAATGAAAAAACTTGAAAACTTTGAGTTTTAACAATAAGGAGAAAATAAAAGGTAAAGTAAATAGTACAAAATTGATTTTTTAACGTAAAAATATAATTTTTTATTAAAATAAACAGTATAGAAATTTTTCGTTAAAGTTCCGTAAAAAACGATGAACGTTAACGTGGGGCCGCGGGAAGAGCTTTTGAAGTGTCTAGGATTTGACGTGTGAGGTGAAGGAAGGAAGAAGAGCACAATACAAAGACAAAAGAGCCCCTTGTGTTCCTTGTGTCTTTTAATCCCCAAAAATCTTCCCCCATCATTTTCGATTTCAATTTTTGCCGACTCTCAATCATGAGCAACGAATAGTAAGCGCTATTTTCCTTCTCCCCCAAACTTCCCATTTCTGTCATTTTTTATCACGTGCCTAAATTTTATCTTACTGATTTTCTGTGCATTTTTTGGGTTTTTTTTATAGCGATTATTTGTTCAAGCTTTTGCTAATCGGGGACTCGTCCGTTGGAAAATCTTGCTTGCTTCTCAGATTCGCTGTCAGTCATTTCTCTTTTCTCCCTTAGGTTAAAAATTAAAATTGTGCTAATTTAGAAATAAATTTTAGGGTTTTGAGGTATATTTTCTGTAATTGGTACTCAAATTAATGCCTTTTGCTGTCTTTTATTTTTGCTTTCAGGATGATTCCTATGTAGACAGCTACATAAGCACCATTGGAGTTGATTTTGTGAGTATATGTATATATTTATGTTTGTATAATTGCTTTGTTGTTTTTGGTTTATTTGTTGACATTTGCTTATTATTTTCAGAAAATCAGAACAGTGGAGCTGGATGGCAAGACAGCCAAGCTGCAGATTGTGAGTAGCGGTTGCTTTCGTTTTTCTTTTTCTATTAAATGAAATTACTTGTTGGGACCAGTGAGTTTTGCATGTATAACAACAACAACAAAGTCTTCTTCTACTAAGTGGGGTCGGCTGTATGAATCTTAGAACGCTATTGCGCTCGGTTTTGCGACAACTCTTTTGTTAGCTCCAAGTACTCCATGTCTTTTCTTAGAGTCTCCTTCTAATTCTTCCTAGGTCTTGCTTTGCCCCTTTTGTCTTGAGCCTTTGTCTCATAATCATATCTTCTAACCGTAGCATCTATAGGTCTTTGGTTCACATGTCCAAACCATCTTAACCAGTTCTATCTCACCATAACTGATTTAGCATGTATGTTTGAGTTTGACTAAAATAATTTTTTTTTTTTGTTATGGGTCTATTACGGGTTTTGAATCAATTGGCGTTATCTTATTTTCGTGTGTATATTGGACTTTTGGTTAAAATTGTTCTCCAAAATTTGATAAGCTTCTGATTTAAATGAACATTATTGGCTGTCTATTTGCATGCCTTTTCTTTAGTGTCATTCTTGATGAACAATTTCAACTTAACATAAATTTTGTTCCGAAACGACTGCAAAATTGTATGTTTCTGTCATGAGAGAATAGTTCTAAGTCCAGTTCACCTAGTCTTACCTAGGCAGATCAGTAGAAGTATTAAATTGATAGACAGGATATTTATTGGAAATGTTATTTATGATCCCTCATGGAAAACTGAATAGGGTGTTCAATTGCTCTT